GTTTAATTCCACCATATCCTTATTATAATTTGAGCTTATTTGTGTAAATTATGTTCGTTTTGATATAGGAGGTGAAATATGGATGCAATTGTCAAATTCAACTTAAAAGTGTGTTTGGCCTTTTATGTGATAATCAAATCTTTTTGGGAAAATGTGGAATTGAGCAAAAGACTATCTTTGATAAGGCGTGATCACACCTTATGACTTACACACGACTGATTTCTAATGTGAAGTGTCTAACTTTTTGGAAGAAAATCTGATATTAAACTTGCTTTTTTGGACATTTCCATTATTTTAAAAGTATCTGACCAATAATCAATCTTTTTTCTATTAGGTCTTTATTTATTTTGAGTTATCTTTATTTTAACTTTTTCCTTATTTGATTTAAACTTTATTAAAGGATATTTACCTTTGCTTTAGGGTTTTTACTCTCTATATAAAGAGCCTCTTAGCCTATTTAGGGATTGTCTATCTTTCTACAACAAACCTTCTTCTTCTATCTTGTATTTTCTATTTCACCATGTGGCTAACCTTTTATTTTTTATTCAAGGGTGAAACGATTCCGATGTATTTTTGTGAGGCTTGTGCTCAACTAGTATTTCTCCTTTAATCCAAGTAATCTTTATTACTCTTTTTTATTTTATGGATTCTTGATATTGATTAAATTGATAACTTAACTCGATATTGAGTTTTTTATCACAAAACATAAGTAACAAGGGGTAAGTCTCATGATTTGTGTTTGTTACAGTTTATTATTCAAACTTCGCATCGTACATGATAGTCTTTGGGAATAAATGTACAAAATTAATTGATTTTTTTAATCATTCCCACAATTCTTAATGCTATCATTAATGGTAAGGTTTGATTTGAATGTTTGTTGCAAATGAGTAGGTTAATCAATTATAAAAGGGGAACCATACTTGTTACGGTTCTGATCAAGTGACTAATTACATGGATAATGAAAAATCAGACTTTTAAGCCTATGAAATTATAATCGGATGAGGAACACATCTATGAATTTGAAGTTTGGTAAGAATTGATTTTCGTTATTTTATTTTTAGCTTTATTTCTCTATTTTAGTTTCGTTAACCAAAACCCCCTTTTACTTTTATTGCTTTAACATTGAGATTCTAATTTCAGCTCTATTGGGATTTGACTTGATCTCGCTATTACTATAAGCTAGTTTAGTAAAATTAGCTTTTATTTTACAAGAATTCGACAACCTTGTCACAGCCCCATTCAATTCATCCAACAAGTCTTCTACTATAAGGATATATCACAAAATTCAATTGTCTATAGTCCATACAAAACCTCTAAGACCCATCTTTTTTCTTGATCAGCAAGCATGGATAAGAAAAAGGGCTCTGACTCATTTGAATGATGGAGGAGGACAACATTTCAGTAATTTGTTTTTCTACTTCTTCCTTGTGATGGTGTGCAAATCTACAAGGCCTAAGGTTCACATGTTGTGCATCTTGTTTCAAAACGATAGCATTATCATGTTTCCTTGTATAGACATTCCCTTAAGTTCCTAAATGACTTCTTGAAACACTTACAATTCATTTTGAAGTTGTTCAGGGACTCTACATTATGTCTCTTATGTACTCAACCAATAAATTTCTCCACTTAGTTCATTATTTTTCTTTGCCAATTTTTGAAAATTTTCCCCTGTCATGGTTCTGATTAGAGGTAGCTTCAGAGTTCCCTTTATAATCACATTATTTCCTTCTTTATCAAAGCTCAAAATCCTAGCTTTGAAATCCAACAAAATGGGACTGAATTCTTCCAACTAATCCCCTCAAGCACCATATCACTACCTCCTAAAGATCGCATTATACCCTTGCATCTTTTAGCTCACTTTATTACACCTAGAATTGTCATATATTTTTTTCTCCATTAGCTATTGTGATTCCCAATGGTGGTGTATACATTAACTCCATTCCCTCCTTAGCCCATTTTGGAGTCACAAACCTGTTAGTGTTACCACTATTTATCGGTATGTTCAGTGACTTTCCTATAATGAAACCTTGTATTCTTAGAGTGTTGTGACCAACATTTTTCAGTTATGACATTGATGGAAATTTTTAAAGCTTTATTTTCTTTTTCCTCATCCATCCCTTCTTCTGTAGAATCCTTATCCCCAGATTCTTCTTCTTCCATACAATTCAATTACCTCTCTTTACATTGATGCCCAGGAGTAAACTTTTCCCCACATATAAAACACAAGTTATGAGTTTTTTTTATTCTAAACTAGGCTCTATTTGGCATTGATGTTGAGAGGACATGATTTGTTGATTGAAGCAGTACTTACATTCTTGATCATACTATTTTTAGGTGAGTATGGAAAATTCCTGTCAGGAATTTTAAACTTCTTATTCTCAATCTCATTGTCTAACTCATATAATTTAACTTACCTGAATGCTTCAGTTAGTGTTTTAGGATTCAAAACCCTTACTTTGTGTTTCAACTCCTCTTTGAGTCCACTGATAAAACTAGATACAAAGTAATCCTCTCCAAAATACATGTTTTATGGCAGTAGGAAGGGTCTAAACTCCTCAAACCTCTCCTAGTTTTCTTCAATATTAGTCTTTTGCATCAACTTATTAAATTCTTTAATAGTGTCTTAATAGTTTCTATCATAGAATCTTTGTCATAAATCAGCTTCAAATTCATGCAAAGTCACCTTAAATTTCTACATGGTATACCCATTAAACCAAGTCTCATCCCTCCCACCAGATGTATAACAATTATCTCCATCTTCTGCTCCTCAGGGATTCCCAAAAAGTTAAAATATTTTTGGCATTTCCTAATCCATCCCCTGAGATTAGTTCCATGAAACACTTGTAATTCCATTTTTGGTCGGGGTATAATAGCCCCTAAACTCCCAAAGGGAATGTTGGTCACATTCATGTTATCAACATTTGCTTCATTCTAATTTTGACTTCACTAGAATTGCCAACATTGTTACCCAACTGTAGTTTTTGATTAAAAGGGGTTGAGTTTTGAAATGTCACTGGTTTGGATGCTAGGATGCCTGGTTCATTTGGTTTGTAGGAATACCTCTCCTTTTCTCCTATTGTTGTCACTTGTATAGGTTTTTTTCCTATATGCCTTAGAGGTTTCGATCTTGTTTACCTGGTTGTTGTCTTTCTTTCCATTGTCACGACATGTATTTTCTTCAGAAGTTTCCTTGTTTCGTTGCTTCTTAATATCTTCAGGATGCTCGTCAAATAACACCTCTTTGCTCTGAAAAATTCATTTTCCATGTTAACCGACATTTCTTCCTTCTGCTCCCACTACTTAAGAACCTGGGAATCTTCTTTTAAGCTCTCTAGTTGCTTCTAAATGTCTTTGACCTGTTGTTGAATGGTAACTAAGGTTGCATCCTCTGCCATGGGTTGAATTTTCTTTTGTTTTCCCAGTTTTTTTAATAGCAGGAATGAGACTCTTATTATAGGTTTAGATGCAAAAATAGATAGATTTTAGAAGAGAAATGATTTTGGCAAAAAAAGGAAATACTCATTTCATTCATAAAAAGATAATCCAAATTGGATTGGGTACAACATTATATATTCATAGTACCTTCACATAGAATATGTATTACAAATTTAACAATTTCTATCGGTTAGATTGTTGACTCATGCAGATGCCTTCTAGATAGATCGGATAGCTCCCAGCCCGTTAACCTTCAAGCCCAATACAACTCCTTTGGACAAGTCACACTCTTCTTGGGCTTCCAAACCTTTGCCCCAACTTGGTCCATCATCTCTCATTGACCCAAAGCCATTAGGAAGAATATTTGCATGTGCTTCATTTTGTATCTCAATTCCCAAATGTCCTCTAATTCCTAATTGCTCACTGTTCATCCTCAGTTCTCTGCTTTCAAGCCCTAAATTAGTTTCCGTCGTGACAAAGGGATTATGGAGGGTCGATATAGGCTTGAAATTAGGTTTCCAAAGTTTTTGGGGTTTTTTTCAAGAATTTTGAAAATTTTGAGTTTTTTTAATAAAAAATTAAGTTTTTTAATTTTGAATAAATATTTAAAACTATATAAACGCGACACATGTCACTTAACATAATATTTTAATGACTCTTACGGTCGAGACACCTAAAGTACTAACGTTTGTAACGTTAAGCATGAGGATTGGCCGAAAAAGTTTAGACACCATTTTGAGAAAAACGGTATAGTTTATATACTATTTTTTGTAATAAGTATTTTATTTATGGACTGAATGAATTAAAACATGTTTTAATTCCTAGAATTTTACAATGCCTCGTATTTCGTTTCGGTTCTATTGCCTAAATATGCAGTGGTTTTCCTGATTCTTTGCAAAGTGTTTAAACTTAAAAAACTGTGAATCTCATCCCATCTATATCCAATTCTTCCCCAAAGGCCTACATATATATAAAAAGTGTACCTAAGTTTGTTTTGTAAATCAGTACCGAAGTTTGTATTGTAAATCAGTATTGGAAGAGTAGATCTCAATTGTTATTCACATCATAAAGAAAGATCAAATGTCACGCCAGATCCTGGGTATTGCTTTGGCCTTAATTCCCATATTTGGGATGGTTTCTGCTGACACCAAGGCCGTGGCCAGCCCCACTGTTGTCGCCGCCACACCAGGTCCAATTGAAGACATCATTAAAGCTGCTGCAGGTGCACCCGCTGCTGAAAGCCCCATTGGTAGTGCTGGTTTGGGTTCAGGTGGAGGTGGTCAGCCTCCTAACAGTGACGACGCAACCACCATTACGGGATCAATGGCTTTCGCAGGAGTTGCTGCCATTGCCGGCTACTTTGTCTTCTAAGTTTTAGATTTGGAGGAAAAGCTTGTTAAATGACTTTTAATTTGTCCTTGTCATATGAAATATTCATTGTAGTTTAAAATGTTCTAAAACTTGAATTTTAAAATCATAATCTTAATCATGATTTTACGTGTAGTATGATTTTCTTTTAATTTCTGCAATTAAAATATGTCACTACTCAAATTACAAGCAGCCCATATTTGAACATTACCCTATTTATGATCAAGTATCACACAAAATATCAATACCAATTACTAAATGCCATAAAAAGAAAACCGAATTTCTAACTGTTTACTAACAGACAATGCACTGGTGAAAGAAAGGCAGCTGCTCCCTCCATCTTACTGATTTTATTTTATTTTTCCATGCCGCACCCTATGTAAGCTGAAAACTTAATCTGCAATACAGCTCAAACATTTTCTTATCCATCTATTAGATACTCTCCATCCGATCCATAAGTGTAGGCAGGGCTTGCTAGTAACAAATTTGAATGGCATTCCATATGGATGCCTTGAGGACTCTCGACTCCTAATTAAAGAATGAATGTAAAAACTTTCCTTTTCCGACCACTGCTATTGGGACTGGCTAGTCGCTGCCTAACATGTTACTTCTACTCATCTCAGGCAAACAATACAGATGAGCACCAAGCAAATCAGGAATAACAGAAATACACTGATGAGCAGCTAGTCACCACCTTGAGCATCATAGGAGAATGATTCTTCATTGATCACCTGAAAAGGGAAATTTGCCTCAATACATCCCCTTAAATACAGGATTTGTGCGACAAATGCTTGCTCCATGTTCCTCGTATTCTGCTTTTGTATGAGATGCCTGCATATAGAGGTCAGGAGATTTTCAACCAAAATCCAAACATTAGCTTATAAATTAAGATTTCATAAAGCAACAGTAATTGGAAAGCGCATAGCAAGAACATTGGCCAACTACAAAAGCCAAAATTCGATGCCATTCAGCGGCCTGTATAGAAACATGAGTAAAATATCAGTTTAGAAATGCATACCGCAAAAAATTCAGGTGTTGATGCAAGTACAGAACCTCCAAACCACACTGCAAATCTTTGGATAGGATGACTGACTACATTTACTTCAACAGGTTGTACCTAGAAGGTGAAGCCCCAAAAGGAGATTAGCAGTGAGCTCTTCTTATATGTTGATGGGATGAAAATGTTAGATAAACCCCAAAAGTCCATACTTTTACTTCCCTGCCATGCCGAGCATCAGAAGCAAGTACTCGGGCATCCACAATCTTTTTCAGATCCCGCTGCAGCCTTCTGTGAAAGTCTTTGAACATGGTTGATCCACCAGATAATACTATATTCTGACAGAGTTAAATAGAGAGAAAAGAAGTTTAAATCTTATATTAAAATATAAGAAAAAAATGTGGAGAGTTCCTTTTCTCTTCTGAATTCGTTCAATGCGTATGAACTTAACTGCAAGCTTCATTTGCCTTTTGGTCACTATCAAGAAAGAAACCAGCAATTGGCACAGTCAAGTACCAATGTCTTTCAACTAGGCTAAGAATTTTTTTGCAGTAAAAATACTAATCGACTAGCTAAACTTTCAATATATATAGATTAATATCAAACCAAATTTAAGAAATGAAATTATATTCGACTTATGAGTACAGAAGAGACATTGATACAAGAGATTAAACTAAAATAACATAATTTTTCAAGAACTCCATCCACAAAAATTTTTTGAAAGTTGAGCTGAGAATGCCGGTTTAATCCTTTTTCAGTGGATCTAAACCCTCAAATAAAATACTTTCTTGTTCATTTAGATTTATCTTGTTTAAGAATGAAAATTTTGCAATCTCCTTGTGTATTATTTAATCTTTCTTTTGAGCCTATGAATACTTCACCTTATACAAAGCTCTTCTTGTGTCAATTGGTGCTGACTGAATGCACTTGTCTATTACAACTGGTAAAGGAGTTGTAAAGTTGCTGTTGCTATAGATCTCGGGACTAAACAAAACCTGTCAAACCAACCATTAAGTAAACATCACTTACAAGCAATATTTGAGAAGCAATTTATAAGCAGCGTAGGTAAGGAAGGGTTTCTTTCCTTGAAAAACAAAGTCTAACATCACATAATTAGTTGCATCACCAAAGTACAAAAAATGACAAAGCATGCCCTTAAGAAATGTAAATAGCACAAGGAAATCGAGATTTTTCCCATTTATAAATGTATATCCTAGGCTGACTGCCAACTCCAGGAATGAGTTTACAAGGGGAAAAAAGGACAAACCTCAGGGCCCAAAAATCGTTCATAACCAATATCACAGGTGTATGGCGTCCCTGTCTTTGTTCTAATACCTCTCCACTGTTTGATGTACTTTGAAGGTTCTTTATCATGCTTGTTGAACTCCTGAGATAAATATAAAAAGTAGTAATTATCAAATTTTCATAAGAATACAGAACTTCTGAGCATTATTATAGTCATGCTGGGTAAGAACCCTGCCGCAAACAAGTGAGCCAAAATATTTCCAAAATCACAATCCAGCAGAAGCAAAAAAGAAAAACCTTGACAATATCGGAACAAGTATAGCAAAATCTCTCCTTAACTATCCGAGCAACTTCAAATGAGTCCTCCGGCGGAACTTTCTCTCCTCTTTCCTGCAAATAACAGAGTGAAAGGGAAAGAATTTATTATCACTAGACACATTATTTTACAATCTCCAAATCCATAAATATAAGATACACAGACAATAACAACAAATAGAATTCAATGTTTAAGCCCAGTTTTTGTGAGCCTTTACAAACAAAGCCATCTAGGCAAACAGATACCACGAAGAAACAAAAAGACACTTTAATTCAGCTTGCCTCCAGAGAGCAGCCCCTGTTCTCAAATTCAAACTAGCTTTGCTTCTGAAGGAAACAAATTCAAAACAATAAACCGAACATATGTAAAATAATGTCATGTTAACTCAAAGACGCTACCACAGCCAAAAATAAATTTGGAAGGATACAAGAATCTGTGACAAACTGGAACAGAATATTTGAAAGCGCAGCATATAAAAAGGTAAGTGCATAAACAAATAAATGCGAATGTTGTCAAGGGTGCACTTTGGGTGCTAGAACCGTAGACCTTTATAATGCCTCATGTGCAAGGGAGGCTGGGCATGTGCCTGATCATATATGACACGCCTGAAAGGGTCAAAGGTGCTTTAGTTGCCTAGCACTAAGGCATAGGCACGCCTAGGTTCACAGCTTGAGAACCACAATAAATCCAACCATAGATATTGCTGAGTAATGCCAAGGAGAGTCTTTCTCTCTTTATGACATGACAATAACATTAAGTACTATCCAATGGTATCAAAGCACAAGTCATGAAAGAACGAGAAAAAAATACCCGCATGAGCTGCTGTATGAAGAGAGTAACATCTTTTCCTGCTATTGGTATTGACTTAATGCTGCTCCCAATAACATAACCATCTGCAACAGGTACGATATGTGTAGCCCCATCTCCAACATCAACTACCACCCCTGTCATCTCACACTATAGAAAATTGTAGGTTAAACTAAATGAAAATGATGATTAGCAAGAAACACAACACACAAAATGTAGGGTATGAAACTAAATAGAAGATAGAGTAGTTCTTTAAACTCTACAAGCATAAAGTATTAAACCTAACTCACTGCTTATGTCAAAAGATTTGCAACAGCTATATGACTGCAGCATAATTCTCTCAGGTAATTAAAGATAAGACAAAAAAACAAATTTAAATATACTGAAACAGTATATGCAGGCACCATATGCATTAAGCTATTAACATGTAAATGAATAAAGTAGAAACAGTTGAGGGAGTTGGCAAAGACTTTTATCTCATAAAACCTCCAACCTTAATGTATATTAAAAGTAAAAACTTGAAATTTTATATAAATGTAAGCATTTTCTACAAAGATAACATGGTAAGTTATTATAAATTACTCCAACAATAGTATTCGTAACATGTTATAAGATACAATTAATTACCATGCTATAGAGAATTTAAGACATTAGATTAAGCTAAAAGCAATACTAAAATTCTTCAATGACTAAATGGATTTAAATCAATTGCTAATTGACTATGAATACGTAACCATCCTAGAACCAACGTTCACACTCATGATTCAATGTCAAAAGGTGCACTTTATAAATAAATCAAATACTAAAAGTCATGGACAATCAAGGACCCTAATCTATTCATCTAACATACTAGTAAACAACTAACGAATATATATAATACCAGAAAACAGAATACCAAGGAAAACTAGATCACAGACCTTAGATGTAGTGTAGCCAGCAGCTAAAGCGAGGACAGAATTCACAGCAATATAAAGCCCTGGAACATTAAACGTCTCAAACATTATTTCACCCATATATTCTCGATTCTCGGGAGCAGTAAGTGGACTCTCAGTCAACAAAAAGTAATGGTCTTCAGGATCACACCGTAAATAATCGAAAATACATTGTTGCCAATACCGTTCCATCGCATCCCAATTATCCACTTGACCATGCCGAATGGGATGGGTAAGGCTATAAGTATTACTTGATCGGGATTTCGCAAGTGCTTCATCTCCAATAAAGAAATCAAGATCTGCCATTACCCCAGCCGAATGCTGAGCTGACCAATTCGATTTTGAAGTTCTAGATTGATTTACAAAAGACTCGTTAATTGCTACTACTGTTGGTTGAATAAAACACGGCTCTACATTACCCGCAAATCCCATCTTAGTATACCTGCAAATGAACAGATAAAAAAGAAAACAAAAGGGGAAAAAGAATTTCATCAAACAGGCTGAGATCACGTAGTTTGGAGTAATATTCAGTAACTAAAAGGAGAAGTTAATGAATACCCGGTGCCGTTATCGATGACGACAGCGGGGCGAGAAGTGGGATCCATTGGGAAGAGAAACGGAAGCTAGGAAGTTGGTTTTGGCGGTGGTGGTGGATCTGCCAGTGAGATCCGAGATAGAATCGGGGGCAAGGGATCATGGTCGTGAAGGGCGCTTGAAGAAGCGCAAATAAGGAGGAGCGAACTCCGTCGTCGCCGGGCCCGATGATATTGACCCGATAACAACGACAACCAACTGAAAGCAGGGACGTTTCAACGGAATTAGGTTGTCAAAACTCCGTTCCAAAAAAGAAGAGTAATCATTTTATCATCAAATTGCCTCTTTTTGTTCTCTTTGTTGATCTATCAACCGAATCAGAAAAAAAGACAAGGCAACAACTACCCCTTTTCTTTCTTTTTAAGTCTTTTTGCTTATCAGTAAGTATCAACCTGGACCGCTAGTGAGTACTTTTGGTTTCCGTTACTTTTAAGGCTTGAATGCCCTTATTGCCTCTCAACTATATTAATTGTACCAAGTTATTGTTTAAATTTTTTTAGACGTTTCCGTCCTTTAAACTATATATTATTATTCTATTTGTCTTAATCATTAATATTATTAAAATAAAAATTTAAAAATATATTTAATTCTTAATTCTGTTATTTTAAATTTATTAGTAGAATTTTAAGAAAATATATCTATTTTTTTATTTTTATAAATAAGATATTTATTTATTTTTAAAAATACCAGAATAAGACATCTAGTTGCTTTAAAACTGTCATTTTCTTAATATTTAAAAATAAATAAATATTAATAAAATATTTTTTCTAAAAATAATATATATAATTTATAAAAGTAAAAAATATCAGAAAAGGACATCCAGTTATGTTAAGATTACCCTTTCTTAATATTTAAAAATAAATAAATATATAAACATGATTAAAATAATTTATATTAAATTAAATATATATATATTTTATATAAGTATGATATTTATTTTTTTTTAAAATATCAGAATAAGACATGTTACGTCATATCTTAAATTTTATATTTTTAAATAAATATAAAATAATTAATAAAATAAAACAAATAAACTATCGAAATTATCCCTCCTCATCTCCACCATTAACATCGCCATCCTTTCCCAATCCTAACACCTCTGTAAATTAACGATCGTCAGAATCATCCAAAACTTGAATCAAAATTTTCGACCTTGGCCACTCTAATTTGCACATTGCAGCAATGGAGTGTTGGTAAACATGCAATATATATATATATATATTCAAACCATAAACAAAACAATGGGTTCTTTCCCAACCTTAAAAAAATGGTAATTTTCTTGTTGTTGACGTCTTTTTCGTTACACAGGGATTTTTTTTTTTTAAAGATACACATAGGGATCTGAACAAGAACCATTGGGAAGAATCCATTTTCAAGAGCTGCAACAGCGTCTTCTTTGGGAATTCTTTGGGAATTGGCTTGATCTTTTTGAAACGGATCCAAAGACAACATAAACAGAGGGTTAATCTTTTTAAATTTGGGTTAAGAAAAGAACCATGCAGACATTTGCCAGGAGTTGAAGCGGTGGAGCAATCCACCCGACCAGAATCAAAACACAATGAGACTATATAACCATTCGAAGACATCTTTAACACTGAATGGGACAGTGAAAAATTCATATGGTAAAATGCTCACATTATCATTTTTATGGTCACATGAAACTTATTTGTCCTTTAAAGAAAAATATTTTAAAATTAGATAAGTATGTGTTACTAAGGGAACAAGGGACATTAGCACTAACAATTAAGGATTCAAAGCAATTTAGATACCAAAATCTAAATAAATGTCTTTTATAGGTGTGTGTGAGCAATGGTAACAAAAGTAAAGAAATTTAATGCTCTAGCCACAAAAGATGAGGAATGTGTAACCTCTAAACTTAATGTTTTTTATTTTACATTATTGGTTGTCTATTTGTTTCATGTATGCATGAGTTTTTTAACATAAATGATCATTTGTTATTTTTCAATCTCATATATGTTAAAATGTGTTATGGTAAACAATTTAAATCTTTTAATGATTTTTCATAAATTTCTTGTTCATCATTTTTGGTCAAATTTGTTTTTCATGTTGTTTTAAAAAAAAATCTTATTTTTTACCTTAATTTAAATGTTTATGCATGTGATTTTATTGCAAATAATATCTCTCTAATAATTAATATCAATTTTCAAATGCATAACATTTTTAGATAGTTTTATATATATGAACTTTAATGTCTCATATTAATATTGCATAAAGTAGTTTAGACTTGGATTTATTGAATTTCATGTGCTACTAATATGCGTCTCTCTTATCTTATTAAAATTCAATATTCTTTAAAGTGTCAAAGTTTTTGAACAAAAATTTGTTTTTAGAATGCATTTGTTAAGGGAGAACTTTGATTTTTCAAATGCTTTTTAATGATAAAATTTCTACTTACTCTCCATGCTATTTTGTACCTTTAAAGTTTGAATTATTTTTTATATAACAAAAAGGGAGAGAATTATTGGTTTGAAAAATTAAATTTCTCAAAGAAAAAGGGAGAGTTTAAATATTTTTTTTATAAATTCTCTTTTTCTAAAGGATAGCTTTTATAAAAAAAACAATTTTTCAAAGAAGTTTTGTTATGTCAAAAAGGGAATATTGTTAAACTTATATTTTGATATAACAAATATTTGTAAAATTGATTTTGGACTTAATCAAATTTTTCAAAAATAATTCAAAATCCAAATTAACTTGAAAAGTATGTGTTCTTAATTGCTTTATATATAAAAATTATTTTGAGTTAATTAAAATATGTTTAAAGTGTTTAAAATATTTAAAATGTGTTTAAAGCTTTTTAAATGTGAAAAACACTATTCAGACACTATTTGGTACTGTTCATATACGAGTACTATTCATAGTTTGGAAACTTTGTAACCTTTGAAACTTTTATTAAAAGTTTCGAAACTTTGCATTTAGAAATTGTTTTAACGGCCCGATTTTCTTAGATACTAACACAACAGAGTCAGTGACGTATTTAGATAATGCGTAGCAATTCTAATCATTAGGATTAAAGACCCTTTAGAGGTGTACTCATGACGAGACCATTAGCAAAGGACTAAGGTAAGTATAAGACTCTTACTTCAGTGATAGAACAGTTAAACCTCAATTAGGTAGCACTTGATCTAGATTATGCATGTACGTACTGCTTAGTACCCAATCTTCAGCATGCTTAGGTTTATGAAATTCTTATGTTGCTTTAGATTAACGATTATATTGTTGGATGTTTTCCGTTGGCATGTCAATAGCTTGGGCAGTTCGTGGAGCACTGTCGCAGCAGGTCTTCCAACATCCCCTTTAGAGTATTTTATTGTAGTTTAGAGGGCTTGTGTATTCACATGAACTTACTTATGTATTCAGATTTATAAGAAAGATTTTTATTATTTTGATTTTTAATTATTTGTCAACGAGCTCCGGTTTTATAAATGTTGTTAAAAGTTTATTTATGTTTTAATTTTGATACCATTTAGCAGGTTTGCAAAGGAATTGAACCATTTAAAAAAAAATTAGGGGTTGCCTCGGTAGCCCAATGTGGCACTTTAGGCCTAATCGGGTCTAGGGCGTTATAGTAAGCGTGCTTCGTCGCCCAATTTTCGTTATGTTTCCCACGCATATCAATTTTATGGAGCGCGTTCATTTCCCATATTTGTGTAGGAATCAACTGATGAGACGTGAAATGTCGCAACACTCTATCAGTGGCGTGCAACTACACAATCGCAAAATGTAATATAGGTGTCACGACACACCATAAATCGGACCTATAAAAAAATTGCGACGATAATAACCGGTAGATCTCTTCGTCAACATATGGAAGCCAAGAAAACTGTAAACATTAATTATAAAAGTTATTATATATAGAGTTAAACAATTCCAAAAAATAATAAAACAACTAATATTTACCATATATATCGACCGGTGATGTTGATCCTTATCCGTATATCTTTTGCAGTGTCACCGACAACTTCGTCTCAGTTATTTTATAGTTTCATCTAAAATGTTTAAAAATAAAAAAATAATTAAAAACAAATAAAAATTAAATAAATATATTAAAAAATTAGTGAAAAAATAAAGTTAAAAAAATTACCTTTCAGCCAGAGGAAACTCAACCGAGGTTGTTGTAATTGGCGTAAAAACGATAATCGGTACCAAGCCCACGATTGTAGCAATATTAGATAGCCTGCTACATCGGCTTTTCGACCCCGCTCGACAATTGCAACCTTGCAAAGCTCTTAGTACAAAAAGGCTAAAATCGTCGAGCCCCAAATGGTATTACGACACTCAACAAAGTTATTTAATATAGGCAAATACTGAGTATGCGCCAAATTACCTGATTTATCTGGTAATAATACCCCTCTGGTCAGTTGTAGAAGATATGTTTGGATGCAAAAATAACCTCATCCTCGGTAAAGTTGCTCGTCACTTGAAATTCGGACTCTAACCACATCATCCGTATCCGATAGTCGTCCATGACCTCAGATGGTAGAAACTTTCCTAAAACTTCGTAGACCAATATCATGGGGTCGTCTGCCTCACAACGGTGACACTATTAACAGGAACATCGAGTTGGTAAGCGATTCTTCCAAAGTAATCATAACTTTACCACTTGGTAAATAGAAAGTTTACGTCTCGGGCTGCCAATGTTTGATAAAAGCCGCAATCAACGTCGAGTACACCTTAAAGCCACATACAAATATGGTTGGAAATAGATCAGATTGTTGAAGATATATCATCATCAGCGGATGCAGATCTCTTGATGTCATCACGCGCTGGCGAATGCTTCATTCTTCTTTCGGCCGGAGTTTGATCGACGAAATATGAACATTATCGAGGTGTAACATTTTTATCGAGAAACCATTTTTCGAGATTTTCACAGAAAGTAATTTTTCTCAATCTTTTTCGAAACTGTGGATCGTGAAAAACTAAAACCCCAAACCCCTATTTATAGCCCTAGTCCCAACGACTATAAACGACTAGGGGATTCAAAAATCCGGCGAAGCTCGTCACTTCGAGGTGACAAGTTATATGATGACTGTTGCCCAAGTGACCGTTGTTGTTGCTCGTTCACCAACGGTTATAGTTTTTGAATTCGAGGATATGAGATCCATTAATTTTTTAAGGTTCAAAATTTTAATTTTTTATATTTTTAAGGGACTCGTCACCTACGCGTCCCATTTAATACAATAATTTAATACTCCATGTGTGGCCTATTCATCGAGAACAATTAAAAAATAATATCCAAGAGGTGACGAGTTTCAACTATACTGTAGCATTTGTCGTATTCCCCAAAATAAAAAGTCGGGTGGCCTATAACCCTAAATAAAAAACACGAATGACCTATTGGGCCAAAAAAAACCCTCCATTATTAATAACTCATAAATAGCCTAACAAACTCTTAGCCCATTTACAACTTTCAGCCAACTACAAACAAATTTTATTACACCCAAAACTCAAGCAGGCTAACCATTACAAAATTATTGAGTTCAACATTAATAAATTTGTCTCGGATAATTTTTCCAGGTTAATATAGTTTCTCCGAAAATTTTATATATGAAGTTTGGATTGAACCGGTAATATTGCTCCACTGTTTGAAAGAAAGCAGAAAGCTTTGAGAGTAGAGAATCTTTTTTGCAGATCTATTGGAAAGCTAAAGATCCTCGATATTTATAGGCTCGGAAATCCGACGTAAGACATGAATTCCTGCGCAAATACAACTGTATTAACAGCTGATACATCAACTGTTGAATTACCATAATAACAGGCTGGAAACGCTCCAATCACAGTTGATATAACGTTGCAATAAATCATAATTAACACCTAATTAAAATCTGAATACAACAGCCAAAAGCATCGGGATTCATCTCGACTTAGAGCTGTTAAAAACAGTAAAATAATCACCCGCATTATGTTGTAATTAACAACAATTTTGGGTAACAGCTGCAATAATTTACAGCAAGTAGATTAATTCGAATGTAAATACAAGGGAAAATTCTGTTCAAGTTTTTTATTTTAAATTCCTGAAGGAAAAATTCTATTGGATTTTCTCTAAAAAGATGTATGGATGCGGTATATGTCGGAGACAAGTAATTAGATGAACACGAATACAAATAAAAAAAATAACTATAAAATAATGATAATTTATTTTTATAACATTCACAAGTAGAATGTTTCTATCCCGAGAAGAATTAAGATTTTATCAACCTTTACAAATGTATTCACTCCTCTGTCAAAACTTGAACCAAAATCTGCATAACTTTGACTCTCATCTGCAAACACAATATATATTCAGCTGTTTCCCTGAAGAGCCCCTCCAAGCCCATTGAATCCTTGCCGGGGATCAACCTTCTCAGGGTTTTCACCTTCTTCTGGATCGGGTTGACGACGACCCTTCTAGAACCTTCACGAACTGCCCTTTTCTTCGTCAAAACACTTCTGGTTCTTGGCCTTGACTTCGATCTTCTCTCGCCATTTGCATCCATCGGTTTGCTCCACAAGGAACCATTGGCGTCGTTGGAGTGAAATGAAAGTTGAGAAATTCCCATGATTTCCAATGATTAATTTCTTTGTTTGCTTTGTGCAATATTAGGGATAGTGAGAGGTTTTTATAAGGTTTCAACGGAGGGGTTGGCAAAGTGGATAGTTCATAATAATTATAAATGACAGCCTAAAAGAGTAGAGTTTCATGGAAGGTTTCCAAGCGAATGAGGGTGGATGAATATGGGATAGCCAATTGTACGTTGAGGAGTTGCTTTGGGCATGTTATCCAACTCAATGCACATGCAACCACATGATTCCACCACCCAACCCTAACCCTAACCCTATCCTTCACTAAAACCCCTTTCAATCTCATCAAAACACCCTGGATTATTCATTCCCAAATAATTTGAATTTGGGGTCCTCAATTCTCTCTATCCAGCTCAACCAACATTGGCATTATTACACGTTTGCAAAATATCATTTACAAAAGTCATGTAATCTCGAGTAGTAATGAATGTAAACAAAAATGTAGACAATTTAGATCTTAATGTTGGGATAAGGTAGATTTTCTTATGACATTCATGAACCACATTTTCATTAAAAAATTTATTATCCCTTTTTATTATGGAATTAAGTATATAAAAGATCATGTTCGAACATGTTCTGAGAACAAAAAAGGAAAATAAATGTACAAATGAAAACTTGAGATAATGAAGTAGACAAATGTTGGGGACTATGAGTACCGCCGCCGACATTCATCTTTTAGGCATAGAATGTTATCTTTGCCTTTGTTTCCACACAGTGTTGTCGCAACCGTCTTTCGGTTGGACCCCGGAATTGGGCTTCGACTTAAAAAATGTGGATTGGAGTCGCCACTGATCATTTATTTAAGAATAAATAGGTTGATCGGATACCTTATTTCTTACCTGATCTGCGTCTTTCCAAAGATGTGTCGGGTTCGGGAGTCGGTTACAGTCAAGGAATGATTAGCACCCTTGAACTGCCCTTTCGGTACTACGTAATTTCCAGTTGTCTTTGATTAAGAAAATTATAAGTTTAAATTAATAGATAAAATAATGATCCAAAATTACTTACCTTTGACGGATTTACAAATATACCCTTTAAAAGTCAACCATATGGGTTAGAAGAGATGAATAAATGATAAATAAAGTAAAACAAATAAAATAAGGAGATTAAGAAAGAAATAAAGTAAATATAAAATGAATAGAATATATAAAATAAAAAATACAATAACACTAATATATACATAGCAAACAACTAAATAAAAATAAAATGATAATGCAAATAAATAAATAAAACAAGTAAAAGAATATAAAAACATAAAATATAGGATAAAGATAAAAAGAAAATAGATAAATAAATGAGTAAAATATATAAAAAAGTAAAAGCATATATATATAAGTAAAATAATAATAAATAAAAAAGAAAATCAAAAGTAATATACGTATTTATACATGTAAAATAGGAAATATATAAATATATATATATAATAACACTAAAAAAAACATATATACATATATAATAAAATTAATAGAAAGTAACATGCATATATAACAAGAATAATAAAGTAGGAAAAAAATGATTTAGGGGGGTGAATTAAATATTTAAAAAAATGAACACGCCTCGGGGGTAGATCTAGGTTCGAAACTTCGAAACCCCACCCCTTTTTGGTTATATACGCAACCCATGTTTTGGGTTATTCGAACCAAATCTCAAGAAAAATAACGTGCACATGCGAGAAATGAACGAACCAATGTAAAAAAGATGCTACCTTTTATTTCCTTTTCGAATCGTTTACAATAGCTTTGCCTTTGTATTTTCCGTGCTTTCCTCTGTGTTTTGTGTGTAAATCGTGTGTTACAATAGTGAGTTACAATGATTATTTATAATGCTTGTGAATCCTATCTTTAAGAGTTTAAATCATAGTAGAACTCCATCCTATTTTTAGGAGTTTGAATCCTAAAATTCTATCGTATTTTTAGGAGTTTGAATCCTAGTAGGACGAAAAGGTGTGTTGACAGCTGCCCCTCTTTGCCCATAGTCGTGTAACAGGGATAGGGCAAAGATTAAAAGATACACTTTTCATTCAGTGGAGTTGAAAATTGACTCTGATATTTCAATAACTCCCTGTCGAATTGAGTTACGGATGACTCCTCCATCGTGAAGTCGAGTTCATCTTGAAATGATATGAAATTGAAGCCGTAGTTCAGAATTTGAATCAGCATGTGGCTTCCCATTGCCCTCCGGTCTTCTTCTCGGTTTAAAGACCTTGGATCGGAATCTAACTCAGAAATCTTCATTGACAGATAGTTTTTTCTTGACTTAAGCTATGCTGCTTGAAAATGGTTGCTTGTCACTAAGGCACGGCTAACCCAGGTCCTCTTCTCGACTTGAAAACCTCGACTGCAACCGGAAAGTAGTGCGATTGATGTGTCATCGAGCTGAATGGAATCGAACTCGATAATTTTGATGGCAGATAACCCTTCTAGCCTTGAGTTATACTGTAAATGATGTGCCTTGGAGCTGAGCGTAGTCGAACTCGAAGGTCTTTATTGACAGATAATCCTTCTTTGAGTTGGATATCCTTCGTCGTGAAGTTGAAATCCAATCTAAAAATGGATGATGCTTGTGTGCACGATTCCCTTCGTCGTGAAGTTGGAAAATCCTTCGTCGTGAAGTTGAAATCCAAGTAAGTAGGATTGTTCCGAGTCCAATATTTCCGTCGTGAAGTTGAAATTGGCTCTGGAATCGGGAAATTGTTTGTTGACAACCAGCCGTCCCTTCGTTGTGAAGTTGAACTTGTGTTGTCTCGAGTCCAATATCCTTCGCTGTGAAGTTGAAATTGGCTCCGAAATTGGGAAATTGTTTGTTGACAACCAGCGGTCCCTTTGTTTTAAAGTTGAACTTGCATCGTCTCGAGTCCAATATCCTTCGCTGTGAAGTTGAAATTGGCTCTGAAATTGGGAAGTTGTTTGTTGACAACCAACGGTCCCTTCGTCATGAAGTTGAACTTGCGTTGTCTAGAGTCCAATATCATTCGTTGTGAAGTTGAAATTGGCTCTGAAATTGAGAAGTTGTTTATTGACAACCAGCAGTCCCTTCGTTGTGAAGTTGAACTTGCGTTGTCTGGAGTCCAATATCCTTCGCTGTGAAGTTAAAATTGGCTCCGAAATTGGGAAATTGTTTGTTGACAACCAGCAGTCCCTTCGTCGTGAAGTTGAACTTGCGTTGTCTGGAGTCCAATATCTTTCGTTGTGAAGTTAAAATTGGCTCTGAAATTGAGAAGTTGTTTGTTGACAACCAGCGGTCCCTTCATCGTGAAGTTGAACTTGCGTTGTCTGAAGTCCAATATCCTTCGTTGTGAAGTTGAAATTGGCTCCGAAATTGGGAAATTGTTTGTTGACAACCAGCGGTCCCTTCGTCGTGAAGTTGAACTTGCGTTGTCTGGAGTCTAATATCTTTCGCTGTGAAGTTGAAATTGGCTCTGAAATTGGGAAGTTGTTTATTGACAACCAGCGGTCCCTTCGTCGTGAAGTTGAACTTGCGTTGTCTGGAGTCCAATATCCTTCGCTGTGAAGTTGAAATTGGCTCCGAAATTGGGAAATTGTTTGTTGACAACCAGCGGTCCCTTCGTCGTGAAGTTGAACTTGCGTTGTCTGGAGTCCAATATCTTTCGTTGTGAAGTTGAAATTGGCTCTGAAATTGAGAAGTTGTTTATTGACAACCAGCGGTCCCTTCATCGTGAAGTTGAACTTGCATTGTCCGGAGTCCAATATCCTTCGCTGTGAAGTTGAAATTAGCTCCGAAATTGGGAAATTGTTTGTTGACAACCAGCGGTCCCTTCGTCGTGAAGTTGAACTTGCGTTGTCTGGAGTCCAATATCTTTCGTTGTGAAGTTGAAATTGGCTCTGAAATTGGGAAGTTGTTTGTTGACAACCAGCGGTCCCTTCGTCGTGAAGTTGAACTTGCATTGTCTCGAGTCCAATATCCTTCGCTGTGAAGTTGAAATTGGCTCTGAAATTGAGAAGTTGTTTGTTGACTGTCAGCCGCCCCTTCGCTGTGAAGTTGAGCTTGTACTGTCTTGAGTCCAATATCCTTCGCTGTGAAGTTGAAATTGGCTCTGAAATTGGGAAATTGTTTATTGACAACCAGCGGTCCCTTCGTCGTGAAGTTGAACTTGTGTTGTCTGGAGAGAAACTGTCTCAAGGGAGATAAAATTTGTTTCAAGGAAGACTGTCTCAAGGGAGAAGAAATTTGTTTCAAAGAAAAACTATCTCAAGCAAGATAAAATCTTGTTTTAAATGAGACTGTCTCAAGCGAGACAAAATTTATATTGGAAATGTCGAATCTGAAGATGAATGTTGATCTTTCAATCTGTCGAGTTGGTTGAAGTGTAGCTTCTTGGTGCTGAGTTAAGTAACCAACATCAATCTTTAAAGGTGTTTTTGAATCTAGTATCTTTCGTCTTGAAGTCGAAACTTGACTCTAAAATCTGTAAAAAATTATGTATGTGGAAAATGATAAATATGATTCTCTAAAATGTATGCATAAGATGCATGTAACATGAATTGGTTATATTTTATCTCCTGAAAAAGGTCTGATTTTGCATTAGGATATTGAATCCCCAAATGATGCCCCAATATCCAAAAATGCCCCAATATTTGATGTTGAATCTCCAAAGATGCCCCAAATGTTCCTCATTTCTTATTTCAGCATTGATTCTGAGCATGAGTTTTGTGTCTAAGAGTCACATGTCATTTACCAAGATCCACTCTAGAGAGACTGTCTTGTTTGAAAAAAAATGTTTTTCTTTCTCTTTTATTTTCAAAGTTCTGAAAATATCAATAAAGAGTTTCGAAAAATATTTAATCCAAAGTTTTGAAAATATTGTCACTTTCATGGTTTTACAATTGAGATGAATCATAAAACTAGAGTTCATCAGATATTAAAGAATTAATTACAATGTTAATCCTTCAATAAATTATAGCTATTTTACAAGTGCCAAGATCAAAGCTATCTTTGGGAAATGGTTAAGTAAGGAAAGGATAAAAAAGTCTCAGG